TCAATTAGGTGATGTAATAATATAATTAGAATAGATTATGACATAAATGAGGTCGTTTGGAATTGATTCTAACATTTTAACATCAACCCCATCATTTTTCAATCGGAACTTGACTACAATTTGAGTTAGTACTAACCTTTACGAGTCGTGATGTGAATTCAAAGGAGTTGTAACTAATATTTATTAAGCTGTAATTTTTGGTACGATACCGAATTTGATACCGTAGTTGTTCTCTCGAAAGTATCATGTCCAGAAGAAATGTAAGGCCTTAATTCCTACTTGACAATGCATTGAAAATACTATGTGCCCCTTGATAATGATTTTTTTTAAGTTATTATTTTTTTCTTTTTTATTTTTAAATGGGTTGAAGCCCCTTTGTTGTTCCACATATTATGTTAGCACGTGTATGTCAGTTTAGTTCCTTAGATTTCGTCGGATCTCCTTTGTCAAGATAAAATTTTACAAAAAGAAAGATAAGTCAGAAAATGCTGGAAAAAGAAATTTTGAACTTTTTAAAGGAGTTTAGTTAGCGGAAAATGAAAACATATAGGATAAAACAACTTATTTCTCTACAAAAAACACAAGAAATTTAAAATTTTCTTCTGAAAGTACTTTGTATAACTCGAATTCCCAATTTACCCCTATTTTTCCTACAATTTTAATTTATCAATTATATCATTTTAAAAACTCATGAATTGTATTATATAAGTCTTTGTTTTGTATAAATTCTAAGAATATTTACTTTTTACAGAATCTCTCCCCCCCCCCTCCCAAAGGAGCATATATAATTTGTAGGTTTTAAAATGGTCTAGATTTATGAAAAATCAATTAGAAGTATCATTTTGTTGAAAATGATTAAGGGCAATTTCGACATGTAAAAGAATTTTCTTTTAACTTTTATATTTTTTAACCAAAAATTTAACATCTATATAATAAAGTAACTTACAATTTAAATCTCAAAAAATAAATAAAATAATTTTAGTTATTCGTGGTTAAAATCGCTTTAAATTTTACTTTAAAATTAATCTAACGGTTAATATTAATACCCTAAATTTAATAGAAAAATAGGCCCCTAAGGGTGTGTTTGAAGTAACTTTTTAAAATTATTTTTAGGAATTATTTTTCATAATTACTTTATAAAAAAATAGTGATTGAAATCGCTCCACCTAACCAACTCTACCACCAACCCTCGCCACCACCACCGTCGCGGTCACCGCCGCCACCACCACCACCATCGCCGCCACTGTCACTGCCACCGCCACCGTTATTGCCACCCCCCACAACCATCACCGTTTTCTACCACCACCACTACCGTCAACCACCTCTCACCCCCACTACAATCAATGCTTAAACTCATTTATCTCTCCTCTATGTTTGTGATTTAATTTTAGATATAAATACAAATATATTTATTATTTACTATTTTTTATTACTTTGTGCCTTCAGGCACAGACAATAATTAATAATTCTATAACTTTCTTGAAAAATTTTCATTCTAGTGTAATGAATTTTCCTTTCACTTTATTTTCTTTCATTTTCACGTTCCATTCTTTATTTTTTCCTAATCAAAGGGGAGAGAGAGAGAGAGAGAGCGCAAACCGAAAAGAAAGGCATCAAGACTAGTGTTGGCCATATACTCATAGACAAGTAGCATTTCATTCCTCTCGAAGCAGCAACCTAAAAGTCTCACCAGATTCTTATGTTGAAGTTTAACAATTAACTTTACTTCATTCTTGAACTCCACAAGACCTTGCCCAGAGTTTGTAGAAAGCCTCTTGACTGCTATTTCCTTTCCATCATGCAGCTTGCCCTGCATATTCTTCAGTCAAGCTTCTTTACCAAACAGTAAGTTACCCCAAGCACAAATCATATTTTGACTCTCTCAATTATGACTTTTCGTCCATTAATTGCCCTCTCAACTATCATGTTTCTCATAATGTTACACCCTCAATTTATTAAAGCGTTGTAAAATAGTCCAGCCGTTAGCTTCTGTTGCTCCGTCAACGTTAATTGAGACAATTGTCGACAGAATGAGTACCAGAAGTTAACAACGAGACCATATGACAATACTTTTATTACATTGATGGTACAATGTGAGAACTCTAATATTTGAGGGTACAAAGTGAGAATTTTTAAATCTTTTGAAAAAATAAAGTGAGAGTCCCCCATCACATTGCCACAAATACCAACATCCATTACAAATTTACGAAATGTTATTTTATTTTCCCAGCACTATATCTTTTATTTCGATTTGTCACATACACGTTGACAATTTCCATCCACATACATCGGACGTTTATGTTAGGAGCACTATGAAATCAATTTAATTTGTGAAGGAGACAATGTGAAACATTCAATAGTTCAAGGAGTAAAGTGAAATTGAGTTCATAGTTAAGGGGGCCAGAACATGTTCATTTGCAAACGTGTTTTTTACCGGGCCGAATCCACCTTCTCCAAGCTTATTTGCTGCTGAGAAATCATTTGTAGCAATCTTTATGGTGGTTAGGTTGAAGTAACGCATCTCTCCACTTTCATCCTGGTCTCCCTCATCCATACTTCCCTCCAATGGACCTTTGCTAGTTATTGATTTTAAACCAGGCAATAAAATTTCTTCCCCTGTTTCTTGATCTGGTGATGTTGGAATTCTCGCACCAATTTCGGTCACTACCAATAACAAGAAAACAAATAAGACGTATAAAAAAATCTCCAACAGTTACATAATTCGGAAAAATCTAACCAATGCCTACCTATCCGGTGTGATCATGTCTTCTTCTTTACTATTAAACCAAATTGAGTATAACGGTACAAGTTTGAAATGCCAAAATTTAAGCTTAAAATCCAAGCCCTTGAATCCTTTTACAACCGAAATATGATGTTTGGTCGGGCACTCGATCACTCGATGGAAAACCTCTTTGCCCTCTGTCCACATTGAACACTTACTCCTTTTGGAGATGAAGTTCAAACGAAGAAGGAAGAGAAAATTTTCCCCGAATACGTGTTACGTAAGTATTGACCGTAACAAAAATAATTTCCGTCTCCCAAAAAAGCAAAAATAGCGCTGAATGCAACACAACATATTCGATTTGATAATGTCTTTAGCTTGAAGGGGAAAAAACACTCAATTCACGAGCGTTAAACGAATCCAAGACTCAATTCTTCTATTATTTGTGTCGGCAAATCAAAATCCCTCTAATACAGTTTCAATATATTTCTTTCAATTTTAATAGGTCTCACTTGAGTTGTATATAATGAAGACTTCACCTTGCTATCTATATATATATATATAGGCTAAATTATACTAACCTTTTTGTTTTCTTGTCCTATGAAGTGATAGGTGGAGACAGAAACCCAAGATGAATACACCAAATGCTGTTGATACAGTGATGATCACTATTTTCGTGGTGTTATTTCCTCTGTTTCCTGCCACTGACAACATGTATTGAGGTAAAAATGCAATTATTTGAAAATGAGCCCTCTCATGAATGATGTGTTACTGAGTACTCCACCTTCATTGGCAAGAAATCACGTATAATCAAACAACAATGTTATTTAGACGAAATAATCTGATCCATCGGATTGCAGATCTCAAGGGTGTCAATTTTTGACTCGAACACGAACACGAACCGAACTCGAACCGAACTCGACATGAACTTGAAAATAACACGATTTATTGACACAAGGAATAAATGGGTCAAATTAAGGTTCAGCACAAATAAAACGATAAATGGGTACTGTAGATAGAAAATAATTATTTAATAAGTATTTTAGATAGAAAATAAGAATTTTATAATTTTTTAAATAGTATTATATTAGTCGTTGTCAAATTAAATAATTTTTTATTAACACGAATATTGACACGAACCCGACACGTACCGAAAGTGATACGACACGAAAATAATACGATACGAAACTGATACGACACGATATAATTGACACCCCTAGCAGATCTAATTCATTATTATAGTTGGATTATTAATGGATCTCATTCAATACTAGGATCTACCGCTAATCCCATTCATAAATGGAGAAATACTATATTGTCTACGTCAAAACCCATGTATTCCAAATACATGTGCACTACACATTCAATTGAATGAAAAAGCGGCACCCTGTTCGAGGGTAGTATAAGTCAAAGTTTTGATTTGTCAAATTCTTCCTCAAGGTTACTAACAAGCACAAGAAATTTCACCATTCAACATTTCAAATTTCATCATCACACTTAAAGCACTAAGACCAACAATCATCCAAAGAGAAGCCTTTCAAAACAAAGGGCTCTAAAGGGATGGCGAATATTTTGGATACCATTTGCGTCAATTTGATTCGATAACTAACGAAGACAGTGTCGTACATTTCACGTGATTGCACTTGAGGGACAATTTTTTAAAAACATAAGAGACTAGAGAGACACAAATTAAAAATGTGAAGAACTAAAATAACAAATATATAAAACTCGAGGGAGCCGAAGAGACACTTTAAAGTATAGTCACATGAGATGCATGGGAACTATTCTGTTAGTAAACTTAATCGGTCATTTTTATTGGACAACAGTGGTACAAATTAAATACTTGAGGAACAAATTCACACAATTGAAAAATTGAAAATCAAACTAAGACAAAACGCACCCAAAATATATTTTGCCCTACTTGAAGAGTACCATAAAGAGGGCTGAAGTTAAAGTTTGCTGTCACTGGCTGATCAGCCTGTTATACTCACCTAGGGGCAGCGGCGGCGGCAATGGTGGGGTGGTGGTGACAAGAAGGGATACTCTTCATACCTCATATTGCAACTTGGCCCCAAAATTCGCCACCCTGGCCTGTCTTGACAGCATTCGTTGATTCTCTCTAGTAGATCGTTCAAACAAGCTAAACATCCATCTTCACTTATATCTCTAATACACTGTACCATTCCATACCTATTCCGACATTTTCCAACGGTAATTCATCTGGAATGTACATCTTGTTCGCAGGCCGAGTATTATATATCAAAGAAGTGATGAAAAATCACATGCCGGAATTCTCCGGATCCGGTGATCCCAAGGTTGAATTTCCATTAATGTTCCACATGAACACCCTTGGGAGTGTTTCTTTACGACCGAAAAAATTGATATCACAGTAGCGTAACATGCACATGTCGTACGATATAATCGCTGCTTTATTCGAGAGGCATTGTCCTATAATCTCTTCTCTCGCTTTGGTGACACAGGTCTGACAGTTACGGGGATCAACATCGCCTCTGCAAAGGAAGAGACCATAAATATCATCCGAGGTACCACTGTAAAACTCGACGTGGTTTGCTCCGCCTGCTCTGGATGTTAAAGAATCTAAGAATGAAGGAAGTTTGGTTGTGTCGTAACTGAGATTGGCTGTGTTGGTAGAGCAAAAGTGATAGATATAATCACCTGGGCCATAAACAGAGACAACCAGCCCAAGTGTTGAGATGATCAAGAGTAGTAATATGTATGATTTGGGATCTTTGAGGAGAAGCACTTCTTTTTCTTTTTGTTTTTCTGATGATGGATCAATTGAAATGGCTGAAAAAGAATATGTATGTTTTTTCTAGAGTTGGTTACCTACGTGTACGTTCCAATGCTTGATTTAGGTTCGCGTACAGTGAAAATGCCATTGACCGGTGGTTCAAGTTCGAGAAAGTCAAAAACTATGATGCAATTTATGTTGGAAACTCAGCGAAAAATGTTTACTTTTTCAAAGATAAAATAGGTGTGGATTGGAATATACTGGTATAAGACTTTGAAAAGATTATACTTTGATCAAGAGATGTAATTTCTTACAAAAAAGGCTTGAAATCAACACGAAACACAGAATATACTTGTATAAGACTTGGGTTATTTTTCGATACAAACACGTATATGACACAATTCGTTAACACAAAAAATAAATAAATTGGACTGGTGTCAAATATAAACAACACGAAATTGACACATTTAAGTAATTTTATAAGAATAACTTTTTTTTTATAATTTATCAAGTAGTGAATTATTTCTTGTATAAAAAAAATATTTTTACTCATTTTTATTACTAGATTTGTTAAGGTACAGAAAATGTACGAGGATAGGTTGGATCAAGTTATAATGAAATTTTGAGCGTTAAATTTTGTATTCATGGATTTTATAGGTTAACACAAACATGATACAAAAATAAATAGGTCGACACGATTAATTAAACATGTTGAATAGTATTCGACACGAAATCGAAATGACTCGACATTAACACAACTTGACACGAAACAACACTACACGATTATCCTAGCTAATTTTGACCCCTCAAGTATGATACCCTTTTTCACATTGCTTTCTCAATTGTCATATTACTAGTGATAACTCGTGCCTGAAGGTACGGTGTAATGTAAATCAACCGATTTATTTTAAAAAAATTACTTTAATTTGCTTTAATTAAAAAAATTAAAATCAATATAGACAGATTGACATTTGTTGGCAATTGCCATTTCGGCAGAGATTGCTCTAATAATAGAAGCCCAGGAAATTCTCTATTTGTCTACATAAGTCAAAGTCTCTTGAATTCACAATTCACAATTCACAATCAGACATAATAATAATTAAAATTCATAATCAATATTCTCCCAAAAATCACCATTTTCGGACCCATCTATCAAAACAAGCATCAATTTTAATCAAAATAAATCAATCACACAACGTGTTTTTGGTTCATTTTACTAAACTCAGTTCACACAACAGACATGCAAAAAGAAAACCAAGGCAGACAACCAGTGACCGAAGACACTTTGCAGCCCACGAAAATCTAGTTAATTTGATGTAAGTTATTATTTATTTCATTTAATTAAAGGAAGTAAAATCAATATAGTAAATTTTTTTTTTGGGTCACATAAATCAGTCAATCTAGAAATAACCCGATTTTTTTCCAAAATTTCAACATGATTTCTTTTGAAAAAAGGAGACCATGAAAATATAAACTTATATACATAACTAAAAAATAAACGAAACAATCTCACAAAATCAACTATCCATACCCAACAACCAAAACAACAAGCAATTTCATATAAAGCCAAAACAAATCTCCATAAAAGTCTAATTAGTTCACCTTATAAAAGACAAAATAAACAAAAACTCACGTAAATCCGATTAATTTGATATAGGTTAGTATTTATATCATTCAAATAAAGAAAGTTAAATCAATCTAATAATAATCTGCTATTTTTATAAAATTTTAACAGAGTTTTCTTTAAAAATAGGAGGTTATAGAAATGTCAACTTGTATACATAACTATAAAACAAACATTACAATCCCCAAAAAATCAAACAATTCATACCCAACAACCCGTGCCCAAGGGCACAACGCAACCGCAATTGCACATCACAGTTTAAAATTGATGCACAATATAAAATGCAAACATATAGCAGTTTTATGTACACCTGAGTGCACGATACAGTTTTAAGAATAATTCACAAGTGTATTTAGACTACACATAATATATCCATCGTATCATATGTTTACCTGATTGTTATATCCAAAATAACACAGTTTTTTTTATCAGTTACAGAGTAGACAAATACATAATAATTAGAGTTGTTGTGGGGCATGAAACGATAACCTCGCGAAAACAACCGGCGCATCCAAATGTTTGGCAATTCTGCACAACGTAATAAAACCTAGCATCCCAGTAATGAAAAACTCTACATAAAGCCACAAAGAGCCCAATAAAGAATAAAAAACCCACAAAAATCATCTGAATAAACAAATTTTGACCTTTTCATCCCTTTTTTGCAATGAAATTGAAATTAATAACCCTCTTAACCACTCACATATAACCTTTCACTCTCTTCAATACAAGCAAGCTTGGCTTTAGACCACAAAATTCATCAGGAAGGTTTGCTTGTGACAGGGATAAAGTTGCAAAGAAGTGAACATAACTACATATTAATATACATATAAATTGATCTGCTTGACACATATATAAAAAATATGTTTCAACTCTAGGTTCAATTCTTTTAATACAAAATACAGAACATATGTTCCAACATCATGTGAAACCAACAAAAAGAATGCATAAATGCATATAGCCATTTTGCATCTTAATGAGATGAGGCTTCCATGGGTTCTTAAATGAGAAAGTTTTACATTCAAAATTTTTATCTAACTTCACTTTCACAACATTTTTTTATCTTCTTTCAAAACTATCACCATCTAGAACCACCTTCAAACATCATAAAGAAATCCAACCCAGCATAATAGAGATCAAAATTATCAATTGTTGCCAAACTTTTCCTATAAAAAAGGCAGCGCACAAAGAGAAAACAAAATGAAATCAATAAGAACCTGTCAAAGCAACAACTAACAAAATTTCAAGATTCTATACTAAACCAATTCACTTTTTCCGAATTCAATGTTGTTTTCCCACATTACTTCAAATCAGATATATCCAAACTCAAATAAATCATATTAACAATATATAAAGGTAAACATATTTGATCATTTCAATGCATAGCA